AAAAGTTAGCAGTTGTACAAAACCTTAGAAGTATTTTCAATGCTCCTTATATGGGTATCTCGCTGGTATACGTTCTATTGTAGTTAAATTCAGAGACTAGGAACGCTTTCACAGGTTAATAACTCTATATCGCTTTTTTAGACCAAAAATTGCACTAATTGAGCTATACGTAAAATTTTCTTTTAACTTCAAACTATCTTTGAGATAGTAACATAATGTAGCGTCGGTGGTAGAATCTGCCATCGACGTCATTAATGGGGCCTCTTGGTGTTGATATTAGCTTTTGATAATATTGTAATGTTTGCTTTTCGAGTATCGGCGAACAAGAAAGGCAAAGCAAGAATCTCTTTCTTCAATATTCGACACATCACGCTTTGTACATACTTGTTGAGAAATAACTTACACACATATATGAGGCGAATGCAACCGTCAGGCGCATATGTCTTTCCACCACATGAAATTCCAACGCTGAGGAAATTTGGATTTTGCTTTGAAATCAATAAAAACTATAAACTTACCTTAATGCATGCAGGGCAGGGCTCATTTGTATGATTATGTTAGCCAAGTTGATTTGTAGTCGAAATTGTCTGTTAGGTGTACTTTAAAGATATTATCGACGCATATCAAACCTTGTAACTCATATATAAATGTAACATGTTTTAAACAGTTACGTTTTTCTTCAATCACATGAACTTTACTATTACGACAACATGGGATTTTCGACAATTTCCAGTGATCACAGCGGTTCTCTTACTCCTTATACTGTGAGCATATAAAATAATGAAAAGAAAAACACACCCGTTAGGTGATAATGCAATCTATGTAAAAGTTTATTTCTCGAGGGACAAAAACCAAGAGTACCAGAAATCACAGTGTGAACCCTGTAAATCAGATATGATGAAGTAAAATAAATAATCGAAAAATGGTGGCGAGCATCATGTCATCTGGAAGAGTTTGCACAAATGCGAATATCTACAATAGGATACTAAAATGAATGTGAAACTAATGCACTCGCGTAACCTTCTATTTGCTGATATGTAAAATCGGGAAAAAAAA